AATATATAAGTCCTTATAGTTTCAACTGGTTTTTAATTAGGTCCCTATAATTTTTTTTCTTTTTATCAGATCTTTATACTTTCATATATTTTTAATCAAGTTCTTATAATTTTTTTTCTTTTTATCAGGTCCTTATTGTTTTACTTTGTTTTAATTAGGTCCTTGTAGTTTTTATTCTTTATTCTACACAAATAATAACATTTTAAAAATAATAAATTATTGTAACAATCTTATGTTAATATTCTTTTAAATTTTAGTTAAACAAATATATATTTATTTTCAATTCGAATTTTTATAATTATAAAATTCAAATTATAATAATAAATTTATCTAAAATTAAAATATGATTATAAATAATTTATATTTAAGTATAATTATTATTCTGATTATTTATTAATTACTAAATGATTATATTAATTATTTGTCCAATTATATAATTATTAATTTAAAAATGAAATAATTTTAAAGAATAAAGATAATAAATAATTTTCAAAACTACAAAGCACTTAATTAAAAAATAAGTGAAACTATAAGGGCCTGATAAAAAGAAAAAAAAATAGAAGGACCTAATTAAAAATACACGAAAGTAAAAAGATCTGATAAAAAGAAAAAATTTTATAAGGACCTAATTAAAAATCAGATAAAACTATAAGGACCTGAAGATTGATTATCCCTTCTAAATATAACAACTAGTAGTTGTAGAGGAGTTTGTTTTAAAGTTATTGCAAAATCTCAACTCATTTTATCCCTAAATTTTATTTTCTTTCTAAACTCTCTTTATATTAATTACACATATTAAGAAAATGTCTTATCAAGAAATAATTTTTTTTGAAAATTAATAAATATTTTTCATAATTAATTTAACTGATTTTCTTAATTACTTTTAGTTATCTATTTCATAAATTTAGAACCAATAAAAATCACTAGACAAATTTAGTTCAATATCCCCATGAAGATATCTTGCATATATGATAGAGCGATTCGGAACGTCTCGTTTCCTCTTCCCTTCCCATCCTTTTCCCGTCTCTTCTTTTTTTAACCATTAAATTAACATATTTCAATGGTTGAAATTTTAATCTTTTTTAAAAATATTACTAAAATATTAAATTATGAAAATAAATAAATAATAAATTACAAAATCTATTACAATTTAATTATAATGGTTTGCAAATGTACTAAGCATTTAAAATTTTTTAAACAAATAGTTTATAAAAATTAAAATGCCAACCTTTAAAATATGCTGATCTAACGGTTAGAAAAGAAAGAGGATGGAAACGGAAAAGGAGAAGTCCCAAACTGATAATCAAGTCCATGATAAATACTTACCAATAAAGTGTTAATATTATCTTTTACTTCATGAAGTTTGAACTCATGTTAGTGTTGTTTTCTATAATTTTGACCTCTTGAAATTTAAACTCATTTTAATCTATCTAAATATTTTTGATTCAAGAATAGTGTTTTTGGTCCCTAAATGAGATTTTAAAGAACCAAAATTACTGATTTTAAATTTTAAAAACTAAAATCAAAATAAGATCGATATCAAAGACTAAAAATTGTGTACGAAGCTTAAGCAAAACTGACTTGTTCTTGAAAAAAACATTAATCAACATATATATATATATATAAACATATAAACCTAATATTAGAGAAAACGTTCAAGTAGGCTATACATGGTCAAACTTCAAAAGTGGAACAAGCCTTGTCATTTTCCATCCACAAAACGCCTAAAAACTTGGCGCTTTCTCTCTTTATTACAAAAATAGCTCCTCCTTCTTCTCATCACTCCCCTCCATGCATGCACTTACCTATAAATATAATACTTCTCTTCCAATCTGTGTCTCTCACTAAATTCTCAATCGCTTCTAATTTGTTTTTCCATCCAGCAATGTCTCTCTCTAACTTACCATCTCCCCTCTCCATTATTCTCCTTCTCTCTCTCTTCTTTCACTTCCCTTCTCTCTCTTCTTCCTTCAACATCTCCCAAGTCCTCTCTCAATACCCTTCCTTCTCCACTTTCAGCACACACTATTGCTCAGACCCAACTCGCCGCCGCCGACATCGACAGCCGCCAACCCATCACCGTCCTTGTGGTCGACAACGCCGGCATCTCCCCTCTCTCTCGGCAAGTCCATGGATGTCATCAAGAAAGTCCTCAGCATTCATGTCCTTCTTGATTATTACGACGTCCAGAAACTCCAAAGCCTTAATGGCAAATCCGTTATCGTCACCCACTTTGTATCAGACCACCGGCTTGGCTTCCGGCCAAGTAGGGTTTGTCAACATCACCGGTTTGAGCACCGGAGCTGTCTCCTTCACTTCCCCGGCCGATCAAGCTGGAACTATCGGTGCAAATTTGATCAAATCCGTTGCCTCTGAACCTTACAATCTCTCCGTCGTCCAAATCAGCACTATCGTCATGCCGTCTGCTCTACTTGACTCTACCGTACCTCTCCTCCACCTTCTTCTTCCCCTAAACCCGCTCCGGTTGAATCTCCAGTACCCGTCAAATCGCCAGTGGTATCTCCAGTACCAGTAGTATCACCCGTTCCAGTGAGGTCGCCCATGCCTGTAATATCACCAGTTCCAGTGAGGTCGCCCGTGCTGGTGCCGACACCAGTTCCAGTGAGGTCACCTGTGCCGGTAATATCACCTGTTCCAGTGAAGTCTCCGGTGCCGGTTGTATCACCTGTTCCAGTGAAGTCTCCAGTGCCGGTGATATCACCGGTTCCTGTCAAGTCTCCAGTGCCGGTGATATCACCGGTTCCTGTGAGGTCTCCAGTGCCTGTAATATCACCAGTTCCGGTGAGGTCCCCGGTGCCGGTAAGTTCCCCGGAGCCGGTAACATCACCAGCTCCAATGACTTCAATGGTGCCAGGACCATCTCCGACGGTGGGTCCGTCGGCGGATTCTGGGGTCACGGCCAACTCTGGGATCAATATGGCCTTGGCAATTATGATCACTTTGTTGTGGGCAATTTATACGCAATAATAATAATCCAAGTATAAATATATTTGGGAGAGGAATTTGTTCCATGAAAAGATTAATTAAGGAAATTAAAAAAAGGGTTGTGGAAAAAAAAAGGATTTTGCATTTGATTTTGTTGTCAAATTACAATTAAGGATTATTGTTTGTTGTTTACAATACACAAGAGATAATCACACACATATCAACCCAGTTTTTGGGTGAGTGCTTTTGCATGCATTATTGCTATGTAAAAGTTTGATATTGGAATGAAAGACAGGTTCCTATTCTGCATCTAATTCTTGCATTTATTTATTTTAGTATTGAATTTCTTTTTTTTTTTTGGGGCTAAAATTGGTTATTCAATTTTAGTAGTATTGTAAAGTGGATGTTTGATTTTAATTAACTTAATGATTTTACATTGTAGAGGTAAATATATGAAAGACATTTTAATTCTATTTACTCATCCCTAATTCAAATGAACCGTACTCTTGATTAAATGACATTAATTAATTTTTCTTAAAATTTAATCAAATGAGGAAAAAAATGACCATAAAAGACGGCCTGTTGAATTTCAAAATAACAAATATGTGATACTGATTATTCTTGTAATAGTTTTGACATATTAAAATCATTTATTTATTATTTTAAAATTTAATGGTTATTTTTGGTCATTTTCCCATCAAACTATGGCTGATCGTTCCTTTTTATTAAAACTTAAAATGTTTGTTTTTTTAAAATTCATTTATTGTTACTGAAATTATCTTTTATATGATATATGTTTTCTCCAAAAAAAATTATTTTCATTATAATTTTATATGTAACGACTTAGTTGGGAGGGATATGCCAATATTACACATATATTAATCTTTTTCCCGTTTTCTGCTTTCCCTCGTCCTTGAACACAAATTTCCTATAGCTAACTTGGAGGAATTGTTTGGGAATTGGGAGGTAGTTTGTTTTCGCTTGGGAATTTTTTCCCAATTACTTGGGGGTTAGTTTTGTTCGGCGGTTAGTTTAAGTGAAAAGAATTCAATCCTCTAAAATAAGTTTTTAATATGAAAGTAAGAAATTAAGTATTACTATATCTATTATATTATAAACTATAAATGAAAACCAAAATATTAAGGGAACAAGAATCCAAAAAAAAATTTTAAAATTTTAAATCAGTTTTATTTACCACACTTTAATAATAATTGACAATATATTTTTGTAGTCATTTTTAATTTGAGATTTTAAAATTTTGAAAGTATTTTTTGAGGATTTTTCCAAATACTAACCACTAACACAACCCACCTTACACTTGTAAGATTGATGACTGAATCATAAAATTGGGAGAAAAATTCCCTTTCATGATCCATATTCAATTTCTCTAGAATATGATTGATATTTTCCATTCACAGAATTGCTATATGGTTCGATATCTATTCAATTTATTGTGATTATTATTTTTTCCATTACATATATATATGTTAAATAATTTTTTTAATATTTATATTTGTTTCAAAAAATTAAATGAATCTATCGTTTATGATTAGTACCTTTGGTTCCATATGTACTTAACAGTTGACGTGTTATATATGAGATTCTAATAATATTCAATATCAATTAAAAATGATTGAATGCATCAAATTTTTTGCATCCAGTTCCACGTTAATTAGTAATTTGAATTAATCAGCCAAATGAGTGACTGTGGAATATTTTGCAATTAAAAAAATATGTTACATCAATTACAAATTCAAAAGCTTTTACATTACATTAACAAATTCAGTTAGTTCGTTGAACATCAAGAAGAAGAAGTTCTTGTTCTTTAAAAGCGATTTAAATTTAAAACCCAAAAAAAGTTTTTAAAATTTTTTTTTAATTTTTAATTTGCATGCGGAAAGGCACGTAACTGAGTCAGTTATATCTCGCGCTTCATGAAGCAACTGTTTATAAATAGACGAGGGAAGAAACTGCCCAGCCACAAAGAAAGTTAGCGATTCAACCAACAAAGAAAGAAGTAGAAGTGAAATTGCAAGGACTGTGAGTGGAAGATAATGGCGAGTGGAAGTTCCAGCGAGGCCGAAATAGTGTATGTAGAGCAGTGTAAGGGCACTAATGGCCTCGACAAGATCGTTCTCAGAGAGAAAAGTGGACATTCGGCTGAGGTTTATATCTATTTTCTTCTTCTGATTTCATTATTATCGAGTTGTTTCTCACGATCTCGTACTGCATTCTCTCTTCTGATTCCATTACTTTCCATTTGTTTCTGCATTGTCAAGTTTCTCTTACACTGCATTTTCTCCTCTCTCCTGATTTCATCATTTTGGATTTGTTTCTTGGAATATCTTACTGCCTTTTCTGTTTTACTTACTGCATTTTTCTTCTTATGGTTACGTTTTCAATTTGATTATCGTTTCGTCCTTTTTGTTATGATGCTTCATTCTGGTATATTATGTTACTCACAGGTGTATCTGTTTGGAGGACAAGTTACTTCTTGGACGACTAATCGTGGGGAAGAACTGATCTTTGTAAGCAAGAAGGTACAGATGACATTTTATTTTTATGCAGCAAATTTGATTCATTTTCACTGCATTGATAAGTATATGCCTTCCAAATCTCTTCAAGAAGGTAGGGACGTCATTTATAGTTGTATACCTGTTTGATATTGATTCTTCTGTATTGCAGGCTGACTTCAAGCCTCCAAATCCTATACGTGGTGGTATTCAAATGTGTTTTCCTGAGGTGTGTGTCTATATAATATTTCTGCTCCATATATATTTCCTACACTTAGTTTAATTTCTTAATTCTAAAGTACTCCATCCCCTCAAATGCAGTTCACATTTCAAAACCGTGAAAAGTATGGATTTGCAAGGAACAAGTTGTGGACCCTGGACCCTACTCCAGAACTTCCATCAGATGACACTCATAAGGCTTTCACTGATTTGATTCTTAAGTATTCTGAACAAGACCGATGGGATTTACCCCACAAGTATAACTATAACTGTCAATACTTGCATTTTCATCTCAAGTCCCTACAACTGTTGTTTTTCCATTTTCTGTAGCAATCACAAAAAGTCCATTTTTGTTCATCTCAAGTATAAATATACCAAGATATGTTTTCACTTTTACCATATTCATAACTAGAAGTCTTTTTATGTTCTTCATATCCAGTCTTAATTTCCATTTCAATTATGTTTGCAGATATGAGTATCGTCTTAGGGTAATTCTGGGACCTGATGGAAATTTGACATTGATATCTCGCATTCGAAATATCAATCTAAATGGGAAACCATTCACCTTCTCATTTGCTTACAATGCACATTTTTGTGTATCTGATGTCTGGTTTGTCATTGCCTCTCCATTTCCTCTATTTAATTAATATATACTTCAGTCCTGAACGTTCTTGAAGTCAACTTCTTTATTTTCAACTAACTATCGAATTCCCTTTTACTCAGGGACGTACGCGTAGAAGGGTTTGAAACATATGATTATCTGGACAATTTAAAGAACAGAGAGCGATTTACTGAACAAGGGAATGCATTAACCTTTGAGGAAGAGGCTAGTATTAGTGATTCTCAAATAAGTTTCAACTTTCATGATTGATTTTTTTTTTTTTTTAGGTAATATTTATTGGCTTAACGCTGAGTGCTAACTGTGTTCGTCTCTTTAATAATGAAGGTTGATAGGGTATACCTTGATATTCCACAAAAAATTGCTATCATAGACCATGAAAAGAAGAGAACATACGTATTGCGCCAGGAAGGGCTTACTGATGCTGGTATAGGAGTAATTATTTCCTAAGCTATGTGTTTGAATTGTTCATATTCTATAGTATAGTGTAAAACGCTGATAGAGATCTATAAATACGATACTGCATGGTTAATAGTGGTTTCATTCTCTTGTATAGGGGTATGGAATCCATGGGACAAGAAAGCTAAGGCCTTAGCAGATTTTGGGAATGAAGAGTATCTAAAAATGGTGTGTGTTCGGCCTGCTCGTATAATGGAGAAAGGAAAAAGAGGAGTTACCATCAAGCCTGGTGAAGAATGGAGAGGGAAGCTGGAAATATCTTTAGTAAATTCTAGTTATCACAGTGGTCAACTTGATCCACTAGAAGCAATCAAGTCTAGTGGAGCTAGTTCTTCTTCTGCTTCTAAGCCTGGCGGGGCGGGTACTAGTTCTTCTTCACCTTCTAAGGCTGGTCCGAGCAGGGCGCTTTCTATTTCTTCTTCACCTTCTAAGGCTGGTCCGAGCAGGGCGCTTTCTATTTCTTCTTCACCTTCTAAGGCTGGTCCGAGCAGGGCGCTTTCTATTTCTTCTTCACCTTCTAAGGCTGGCACAAGCAGGGCGCTTTCTATTTCTTCTTCACCTTCTAAGGCTGGCACAAGCAGGGCGCTTTCTATTTCTTCTTCACCTTCTAAGGGTGGCACAAGCAGGGCGATCTCTAGCTCTTCTTCACCTTCTAAGGGTGGCACAAGCAGGGCGATTTCTAGTTCTCCTTCACCTTCTAAGGCTGGTACAAGCAGCACGATTTCTAGTTCCTCTTCACCTTCTAAGGGTGGCACAAGTGGGGCTAAATCTTCTGATGCTTTTAAGGCTGGTAGGGCGAGTTCTAGTTCTCCTTCACCTTCTAAGGCTGGTACAAGCAGCACGATTCCTAGTTCCTCTTCACCTTCTAAGGGTGGCACAAGTGGGGCTAAAACTTCTGATGCTTCTAAGGCAGGTGGGGCGAGTTCTAGTTCTTCTTCACCTTCTAAGCTTGGTACAAGCAGGGCGAGTTCTAGTTCTTCGCCTGCTTCTAAGGCTGGTACAACTGGGGGACGTTCCAGTTCTTCTTAATACATACTTGTGACTAAGGCTTGACAGAAAGTGAGTTTCGTGCATCCACCTCTCAAATTATGTATAATATATTAAGATTAACTACAATGACATTTTGTTATTGTTGTTTCATCTATTTCTAGGCCAAGTTTGACATTGTCGAAATGTATTTCTTGCAGGAATCAGGAATGGATAGCAGATTCAGTGTTGGCACAACTGTGAATATGGATTTAGAGAGCAAGTTGATACTAATAGATTTGTAGGATTTTTTTGCATTCGGAGAATTGAAGAGAAGTATACGTTTGTGCAACAACTGTGTAGATTGGATTGGTTTGGCTAGTATTTCTTTGATTTGTAAAACTTCGTGTAATAACTGCTTTGATATGGCTCCTTCCAATTCTCAAAAGAATACAAAATTATGACTGTCCCCAAGTTTTCGTTTTTGAATATTACGATCTGATGTAAATGCATGGTTTACTTTTCCTCAGATGGATCCCTCAATTAACATTTCACTTTTACAAAACAAAGCATAAAGGCTCGATGAATGCTTCTTTGTTGATATTGAAATTATGAATGCTTCTTTTAAGAACAACCCAAAATCATGTTCTGCAAAATTTATATTGGGTTGTGTTATTGACCTCTCATGAAAGACAAGGTTCCTTGTAGGCGCCCCTTCTTCAATCTCTCAAATTTCAAAATTGGCACATTTGGCTCTACAAGGCTTTGTCCTAACCTTAGGACCTCTTAATGGACATGTCATTTTATCTGATAAGTAGATTGGTTGATTCAGAAACACAAACAGAGATAAGACAGCCTTGTTCCAATTTAACTTTGTTCTCCATTCCTCGTGCCATGCCTGACGCTAATTAAAGCCTCTTAAACTCCTCAACTAAGTTGAGATTATCACGTTGAAATTTGAAATTTCAGACTGACCCAATGAAAAAAAGCTGACATAAGAATCACTCTGGTTAAATTCAGAAGACCAACAAATTGGTTTAATACGCGTACTTAAATTCTGTTTTATCATGAAGTTTTTTTTTGAAATAAACATATAAATAGGACTGAGGAGAATGATTTAGTAAACGTAAGTACATAACGCATTCATGTCTATTCACCCCATTGTACAGATAGAAATTTCCAAAAAAAAAAATCATAATTATATGATATGAACCTATTACTAATCAATTATGAAAAAAAATAACAATATTTGAATATTTCCCCAAATTTGACATAAGATTATTATTATTTTATTCTTCCTAATCGTGTCCTTCATTTGTTTAATCTTTTTTCATGATAAAATCACTTATCTTTTTTTTTTTTTTTAATTTTATAATGTTTGATTTGTTTAAGCATTAGAAAATAATAAAATATGGAAAGAATTTTTTTATTATTATTATTTTGAGAAGCTACTTTAAGTAATTTGAAAATAACGGGGTGCCTTAGACAAGAGTGAATCTCATAAAAATAAGAAGATACTACTACATGCTGAAGATTTTTTCTTTTGAAACTTGAATCAAGTTTTCATGTACTTGATAATATAATTCTGGTTAACCATATCATGACCCTGTCGCAAGTCTAGTCTTGACATGTTTCAATCTGATATAATCAAGTCATCACCACTTTGTGATCCTCACTTTCTTTTGTCCATTAACATTTCATTGTCACAGTCAAATAATTGCCGAGTGCCTCCCTGTTGGTGCTGAATTCTCACCATCCATGATGAACCGATGAGAATAGATCTTCCTGTAGACTATTTTATTAGTTGACTATGACCCAAAAGCATATAAGCTGCTGCAGTTTATATATTTCTCCAGGTGTGTGAGATGGGAGTAGTTTTGAGATGTAACTGGCTTTTGTTATTGACGTTTCACGGGAGACAAGCTTCCTTGTCTATGCTTTGCGATGTGTAATCCAGAGAGCAACTGAGAAGTTAGTTTCTGTTGCACGCGGAAACTTTTCAGAGATGGATAAAAAGTATCCCCACCAAGTCCATTCTGGGCCCCACCTTCCAAGTTAATACAGGTAGGGTCCACAAAGACTTTGTCCTTAGGACCTCTCAATGGTCACGCCATCTAATAAATGGATAGGTAAATTCAGAAAGAAGAGTTAGGATCTAATTGGTCTCTTGAACTCCACACCAACAAACAAGAGTTAAGATTATCATGTCAAAATCTTATATAAATATGAATTAGATTTTAACTATAGAGTTCTCTCTTGTTTGGATTAATTGGTGGACTTCCATTTCATCTCTTAGAAATTTGAAATTTCTTGTTTAAGCTAATGGAACCCAAGAAGCTTTGTGATCTTGTTCCATGGATTAACACAATAACAGGTGTTCTTATCAGTAAAAACCTTGAATTGCATGAGCTTGAAGCAAGTCAGCCTGAAACCACAAGAAGCAAATCCTGAAAGCTTCTGGGTTGGCTATCCACAATACATTGAAGTATTTACAAATATCACTGTCACAAAGTAGTGTATATATATATCTATCAGTTGTAAGAGAGAAAAGAAAGCTGACATATGTTTGATGTTATATATGCCTCTTCACTGCTAGCAATCCAAACATGAGCAGCAGAAATTTTATTAGTAAAGGCATCAGACATCATCATCGTCATCAAGCATAAGTCTGCTTCTCCTTAACAACTACGAAGACTTGGAAGATTCCAAGGATGCATCACTGTGGTTAGAATTAGAAGGCCAAACAAAGATTCCCCAGAATGGCTGTTGTTTCCGTTTCTGATGGCTGTCCACAGCCTCAGGTTCTGTTCTTCTAAGCATTTCCCACATCACTTGTACATCTTGATACCCACATGTCTGTATATCATCTTGAAGCTTCAGCAGCCCATCCCCTGCACCAAAAACCATAAAACATTTGAGGCTCTTATCTTAGAAAATAAAATTAAATGAGTTTTACATGGTTGCAGCAAGTTAAAGTTAAAATTATAGGAATTGAGTTGTACTGATTAAAAGTTAGGGACTACGTTACAACCAAAACAAAATTATCCAGACGGAAAGATTAATCTTTCCTTTTTGCTCTGTACAGTGACAACCTAGGGGCTGATGTCACAAGTCATTCATTTGGGGGTGTGGTGGAGAAGGCACTTTTGAGGCCATTATGTGGGTATAACAAAAAGTATGGTCATTATAAAATATACTTTCAAGTTATATTTTAGTAAAGTAACAGACAAGGGCATATAAAGTTGCACTGAAAAAGATGTTGATCCTATCTATCTAGACTCTTCTCTTCCAGACCAGATCGTATGTTATCAGGTTAGGTTAGTTACCACTTACAACGCTTAAAAAGATTCATTCATGGTTAAGAAAACAACAATTTCTTATATATGTATATCTATGTGCGTGGGGGTGATGCGAAAAAGGAGGAATAATAGCTTAAGATTTATGCAGCCATTTAAAGACAGAATAAAGGTGCCTCCTTCCTTTTGTCTTGAAGTGACCTGCTTAACCGAAAGCTAATTTATGGACAAACACAAATACCAATCTGCTTAGATTGTCCGTACATGTCTCTGTTTGCAAAAACCACACGCTTGCAGAAGAAAAGAGAGGGAATGTAATTTTGTGTTTCAGACAAGCCTATGTAGAAGCAATACATTTCAGTGCAAAAAAATCTGCAGACTCACTTGGAAACTGAAGGAAGAAGACAGAAACAGAAGAATTTACTTGTTAAAGAAAGGGAAACCAAAAATACATGAAAAACCAGAGATCAGAAGAACAGGGAAAGAAAACTAGCAACCCCATTGATTTTTTTTTCCTTGCATATTTTTAGAGAGAGAGAGTACCGTTTCTGCGAGTCTTGAGGCGAGAAGAGAGAGCAAGCCAGACACGCCGGACAGGGAAAATCATCTTGTGCCAGAAATCCATTAACTTATCTTTGACTTTAGGGATCTTCTTTTTCCTGGTTTTCCTTCTAAGCCTGAGTGGCACAGAGATTCTCCTTAATCCTGCCAGACTTATTGATGAAGATGAACAACACTTATTGTTAGTAAATTTCAACACTCTTCAACAACCATCAGAATCAGCAGGTGTCACCATGCCCGCCCTTCCTTCTTCGCTCCAACTTTCTCAGAAGGCAGAGAGAGAGAGAGAGATGAAGGCGTTTGCCTGTTTTGCTTTGGGGGGGTTGAACGGCAAGTGACCTGTGGAGGAAGGCTTGCGAGATATAAAAGCACAAATCAGATCACCGACACGTGAGCTTAATTATTATTACTACTACTTCTACTACTATTATTACTATTTTCTCTTATTTAACATAATCCTATTCACAATCAGAAATTATTATTCCTATTTATTATTATTATTTGTAATAGACCATTGTGAAATATAGTTTTTTTAATAAAAAATATTTGAATATTGTATCAAATTTTGTTTGTTGATTTCACCTTATACCCTCGTTTAACAACTCATATTATTATATTTAATTCTCACATATTCTTCTTTTTCTACTACATATTCTCTCTTTTCTAAAAGCATGAGTGATTTTAGTTAAAAAAAAAAGTTTTATTTTTTAAATCTATTTATTGTTTTTTATAAATAAAAAAATTTACTTAATTATTTTTTATAACAAAAAGAATGGAAGGGGTAGTAAGTAAATTAATAAAAACTATGGAGCCATGTTCATTTAATTTTGAAACAATATTTACTATCCATGTCACACTTTATCCAAATTTTTGGTATCATCTGGCAGCATATGCTTTTCCAATTTTTCTCAACCATACGAATTATTTACAATCAAACAAAACACCTTTTTGCACTTCACCTGAGGGGTAAAAGTTAAAAACATTATATAATTTAATTATATTTTTTGTTTATATAAAGAATTAGCAATAACTTATGTGGGACGATTTTTCAAATACTATTTTATTTACATGAATATGTAGGTCAAGAGATACTATTCTTTTTTTTTTTTTTAATCTTTTGTCCCACACTGCTTTTACTTTATATTATTACTCCCGTGATTATTACAAGTTACCTTTGTAGAAGAAAATAGACGATCGAGCAGGATATTAGTTATGTTTTTTCTAAAATTACCCATATTTAATAGCCAATCAAAAGTACAACTCTTATAACATTTTAAATGTAATTCACGGTAATTTATTTTCAGAAAAATTTAATTATTTAATCACTTTTTTTTAGTTTTTGAGACTGACCTTAATTGGTAATTACTGTAGCTTAATTATCATGCTTTTTTTTAAATATAAAATATTAGTTCGGTTGATGGAACTGGAAATCGGAAAATAATTTAATAACAAGCGGGCATCAACCACCCTTCATTTTTTTCTCTTTATTTTGTCCTTATATTCTTTAATTTATTATTTTTTAAAAATATATATGTACACATCCAATAGGCAAAACAAACACGTGTTTTAGAACGTGTGGCTTCTTTTAAATTTTGAATATGATCAACTATATGCTAACGCCAAAGGAACCATCAATAAACTATATCATAAAAATTTGTAATTTGCTTAAAAAACAAAAAAAAAAATTTAAACTCTTCTAAATCAACTCAAATTTATGACCAAAAAAAAGTGTACCTCTAGGCCAAAAAAAAAATAGTGCATGCAAAAATATAAAGATAAAAGTGGGTATGAAATTAATTTTTTTAATTCTTTTGTGAACAAAAATTAAGTTATTAATTTAGGTAAGTTCATGTCAATGACAAGTAAATGCTGAAATTGTAAACCCCAAGAATTGCAAGAGCAAAATCACATTTTGTAGGGGGAAAAAATAAATTAGTTGACATAAATTTTCAAAGAATGAACTATATATCACTTGTAATTTATAAAATAGTATAACTTATTATGAATTTTATTATATACATAATAAATATACACACACACACACGCCACACTACTTGTTTTTTCAAAGTCGTTAAGCAACAGTGGTCACTTCTGACGTTGATCAGAAGTAAGCACTGTGTTAGAGTGAAATATTTATTCAGATAATATAATTAATTAATTAGCGTGAAGATGAATTTGTTAAAAAGTGATAATCTAATAAAATATTAGTAAGTGATAATCTAAAAAAATCCCCACAATGATTATGTGAAGCGATTAAAAAAATTATCTTAATTAATTAGCGTAAAGATCTGAATGAAGACAAGTTTTTTTTATTTTTAAAAAAGATAGTAACCTAATGAATTAATTTTCTAGGTGTGTAAAATAACAATGAAGGAAGGATTGGTCCACGTGGTGAGTAAGGGAGTGGACATGGAAGATTCAACGGAGGTTGGTTGGTGGTATATTGTGAAACACAATTCTGAATTCTCATGTGAAGAAGAAGACGTCTTTTGTTTTGTACTTTGAATTTCAAATTTTCAATGATTTAACCTAATCCCTCCTATCATCATTATCAAACATATTTCAAAAAAAATGGATGATGTTTATTATATGTCACTAACAATTGTTTTTCAATGTTATCATATCGAATTCATGTTAGAAAGAGAAAAAAGATAGATAAATCAGAATCGCTTGAAATGATAGAGCGGAGTTTTTTTTGCATATCATCTCAACCAACAGTTGGTTAGTTCAATTTAAGGCATATTTAATGATTTAACTGTTATTTGTTAGTTTGTGAGAATTAATTGAAAATGATTTTGACAAGGCATCCCTATTTAAAATCATTAATTATGAGAGGTAATAAAATACAAATGTGAATATTTTTTATTTAAATATCAATGAATGACAATTACATCATTAAATTTATCATAAATTGATTTTTTTTTCAATTTTACCCCTCTTTAAATGATGTAACTTATTTTTTTAAAAAATTTAAACTTCAATTAATAATAAGGATAAAATGGAAAAAATAATTAATAATGTTGTTGGTGATTTGTATTTGGAACAAAAATTATTACTAGAAAATATCCTGTAATAGGACTAGAGGAAGTATGAAAAAATTAGCAATTTTATTTCATTTTCCGACAAAATCAATAAGTTAGTCGCCTCTTCTTGATTTTCTTATAAGATACTCCCTCACTGTTAGTTAAGCACTGTTAGTTAAGCTTTCTTATAAATAAAAAAAATTCAAATTACTTATATTTATTATATCAAATTCTTCAATCCATATGATTATGTGTTCTTTTTTATTTTATATAAATTTATCATTAAATGCTATTAAATATTAATATTTTAAAAATGTGATACATGATCATGTATGATTGAAGAACTTGATATAATAGATATAAGAAATTCAATATAAGTATTATTAGTTGAGTCATTAAATATGTGGTAAGTTAATGAAAATTACCTATTTATCTCTTCTGCATTCAAAACTTTCTTTTCTTACAAGAATGGGAAAAGAAGAAATTTTGTTTAGTTTACTTTAATTTATGTTCCTAATTTTTCAGTACCTAACCCTAACCCTAACCCTAGCCCAAACCTCTTCAAATCAAAATTCCAAGAAATGCTGCGCGCGTTTCAAAGTCACGATGCCGTTTTCTGACTTGGCACATTGAAATGGGGTTGCTTGGTTCGTTTACCTTGAAAAACCTTTGAACACAAATAAATTTTAAATCCAATTATTTTATTAACATATTTATCTAATCTCGTTGAATTGAAATGTAAGTAATGTTAGCTCTAATTGATAATAACTTTTCAAGTTGATTGTTTCTTTTATTTAATAGAAATTGATTTTTTTTTTCATTTGACTTTACTAACTATACTAGCGATAAGATTTATTCATTCTTTTTTATTTCATGAAAAAATTGTGGGTCATGTGTTTCGTATATAGTTACAAATAAGCTACATTTTTGTAACTTTTTTTTTTTAATGACTACTTGGTTGGGTCCAAAAATATTTCAATATGACTCACTAATATTGGAGATATCAGACATTATATTAAAACAATGTTTTTTTTAACAAATATGATATTTCATATTTCCATTTATTAAAGATTTAAAAAGCTCTATTGTTTTCTCCCAGATTTAATATACACTTTACTTTTTTAGATTAGAAAGGGCTCGTGTAAAATTTAACGGCACAAAATAAAAACTCATATTATAAAAATCATTTAAAACAGGTTAATGGAGACTTTCCTGTACACTATAATTAAGTACTCAATACTCATGCGGTCTTTCATATAAGACCTAATTAACTCAGTTAAATATATTAGTTAAATTAGTTAATATGATATGGTTTTTTTTAAATACCCTAACCATCTTTTTTAGTTCTCTCCCTTCCTTTTCTACTTGATTATTACTGAGAATTATCAATAGGGTTGATTTAAAAAAAATTGATAAACTTATCAAATAGGTCTTACAAATAGGACCAACATCAACTCTTAAATTAAGTCTTACATTAAGGACTAGATGAGTATTTTAGAACTTCTTTAATCTCTCCCAATAAATCAACTAGGTTTTATATTAAGGATCAACGATAGTAAGAAAAATTAGAATATGTTTATATAACTAATTTCGTTGACATGTATTGTTTACTTATCTTTGTTCTAATATAATAATTATATTAGCTTTATAAACAAACAAACAAAAACAGAGTTTTCAAGTGGAGACTAATGATTCGTTTGAAGGTGTGATGGATGATGCATGTATTCAATTCGTAAACTTCAGGTGTGTGACCAGAAAAGCAATACGTATGATAGGTGGCCATAGTGGTGGGTGACTCACTTTTCAAGTTTGCTGTTCAATTCTTTAAAATTCAAATGTTAATAAATCATTATTAAAACTAGGCTATCAATATCAATGACCTTATAAGCATGGATATTTTTACTACAAATAGGAAATTATGGGTTTAATTCTTCTTATAATATCAGGTTGTTACTATATATCCCTCTAATTATTTTGGGCATCAAAGTTGTGAACTCCAATTTGAATATAAGTTGAGTTGCGTTATTTATAACTTATATAATGATATGATTTTTGTATATATTGTGTGTGTCTACATATATATATATATATATATATATAATCTACTAGTTGATATTAACTCAGGTGATAAAAAATGAGATAGGTGTGTAGATGGAAGTTTCAAATGTAATCCCTCTTGATTTAATAATAAGAAATATATTATTAATAAATTATGAATAATATAACTAAAATAAATAAAAATCAAACAACGAGGGGAAAAAATCTTTATGTTCCTTCTTGAATCACTCTATATTCCCCA